CTCGGCGTCGCGGCGCTGAGCCTCCACGCTCCCTGACGGGGTCGATCCGCCCTCCACGGGCCTAGCCGAGACCGTTCCATCCTCCTCCTCCAACACCTCCTCCGCGTCGCTGATGTTCTTGTCGTTTGCGATCGCATCCTTGGCCTTCTTGAAATCGGCCTTCTGGTTCACGCCCTCGGGGACCATGGCCCGGTTCTCGCAGGCGCCCCTGCCCTTCGCAAACCCGACAAAGTGCCGGCGCGCGGCAGCCGGCTGCTTCATGAAATCACCCTGGCAGCCAGGGTCTACCTCGTCGATGGGCACGGGCTGGCCCATGGTCTCGTCGTCCTCAAATCCGAAGATCTTTCTCCACAACCATTTGAAGATGCCCTCCTTGTCCTCCGCGGCCGCGTCTTTCTTCGGGTCGGCGTCGAGCTGGCGCGCCGCGCGGGGCGGCGCCGCGTCTCGGCGCCCCCCGTCGGGGGAGCTCGGGCCGCTGAGGCCGCCCTTTAATCACCTGCTGCTCCTGCCCCTCCATCACCTGCTGCTCGATCTCCTGCTGCCTCTTCAACACCTCGATGCTGGTCTCGCCCAGTGTTCCGCAATCTCCATTGAGGCAGCGTAGGAGTTGGACGCCCTCCTTGGTGTTGGACGTGTAGTTTTCTTCGAGCGCCCTTAACCCGTTAATGGCCTTGTTCAGCAAGTCGGTGTACATCCTCTTGAGTTTCTCATCGGTCTGCGCGCGCTTTTCTTCGCGCTGCGCCTCCTCCTGCAGGGCGGTTTGATTATCCTTCTGAACATCGCTCATCCGATCCCCATCCCCAGCGGCGCGGCCTGGGCCCCACTGGCCGATCTACCCCCCTAGATGGGGATGTAGGTCGTTACCTTCGGGCTCCGAGGGGTGCATCCCCAACTGGGGCGGCAATTTGGCGGGGGTCGAAGGGGGCGGGGATTGGGATGGGGATCGGATAAACGATACTGACCTTCAGCTCAACCATCTTGGCGTCCAGTCCCTGCAGCTTCGCCTGCAGCTCCTTCTGGGTCCGTTGCAGGGGTTCGAGCGTCTGCTCCGTCGCGGCGCCCACAATCTCGGACACGTTTTGGCTCTTGGCCGGGCCCGGCTCGACCACCAGAGCGGTCTCGCCCAGCTCCACCTCGGCGAACAAGTGGTCGCGCTTGCCGAGGGAGGGCAGCGCCACAAGGTACGGGAGCAGCAAGGTCGGAAGCGGGGCGCGGAGCGCAAGGCGCCGGCACGCGGGCGCCATGGCGGATGATGCTGAGCCAAGCTCGGCGACGATGTCCCGGGACGTTCCCGGCGAACTAGCAATAGTTTCTTCAAGCACGGTCGATCGAGTCGAGCCTTGAGCCAAAATTTGGCCACGGACCTGGCGCAACCCCCGCTAGTGGAAAGCTTCCGATTGCTTGGGCGCAATGCTTGGCATTGTTTGGCATTGCTTGACATTGCTCGGCATTGCCGGGCATCCGGCGCCCAGGGAATCCGGGGAACCCGGGGAACCCGAGCGGGCAGATAAGCCCCCGAGGCGCGAACCTTCAACCAAATCAGAAACCCTCAGGCAAGCCCCATTGGAGAATTCGCCAGCCCAACGGGCCAGAGGCGTGCTAAGATCTCCGGTAACAGATTAGAAATAGATCTAGTTCGCGCTTGCGCGGCGGCCCCTGGGGCCCCTGGGCGAAAAAAATCCTGGCCGATGACCAGGCGATGCCCGGGCGATGCCCGGGCGCCCCAGGAGCGCGCCAGGAGGGGGCCGGGGCGCCCCCCGCACATTCCGAGAGACCCCGCGTCGCCGAAAGATCGTTCCAAGACGCTCAAGAGGCTCTCCAAGAGGGCCCCAACAAGCAAAATTCGTTCCAGTCCCTCGGGAAACTCACATTTTTCGCATGCACGACGTTCGGCGGTTCACAGCGCCCAGAACTGCCCCAGAGGCCTCCAACATCGCCCCAGACGGCCCAACACGCCCCCAAGATGGGCGCAAGAGAGCCCAAGAAGGCCCCAAGACGGCCCAAGACGGCACCAAGAGGCGCCCAAGACGGCCCAAGAGGGCTCCAAAACGGCCCAAGAGGGGCCTAAGAAGGGGGCCAAGAACCGAAAAGTCCAGCCTTCAGCCCCAAGACCCCCAGGAGGCCCCAAGAAGCCCCCAAGAGGCCCCAAGGGGCCCCATCCCGATTGCCGCCCGTCTCCTCCGCAGCTGAGGCTCGATTCGATCGATTCTTCATCTGGGGGGGGTCAAACTGAGTCAGTTCCTTCACCTCCCCTATCTTTCCAACCACCGACCCTGGTAGTCAAATTGTCATTGGACTTCAGAATCAAGATGGGTTTCGGTTTGGTGGATACTGGAGCTCAGCATGGAGTGCGCGGCAAAGATAAATTCGAGAAAATTGAGAAATTTCTTAGGGATACCGACGGTCTGACGCCCACGCAGACACCTACTCTGGAAATTGATGCTATGGGCGTTGGAGAATCTACCAAGCTTATCTCCAGCTAGACAGCTAGACACTACTTATTGACGCGGCAAAGAACTGCAGTACCATTACAGCGCATGTGATTGTCTATGATGTGCCCTTACTACTCCCAGTGGAGATAGATGCTCAGACAGCTTGACACGGTTCTTGATGTACCAGGCGGCGTCATTACTTGGAAGGCACCCGACGGCAGCCAGTCGAGAGTCTATAAGGTAAGGGCAGGCAAACACACTGTGATCCGCATGGCTGATTTTCCCGAAGAATGCTGGTATGAAAAAAAGAAAATCAGAACAGTCTCTCCCAAGACTCAGGGGCTCCACCAAATGGTCGAGTCTGAGGGCGCCGCTTTCTTTGCGAATCCGCAGGCACCCTCGGCTCAAACATGTCTTTCTCAACTAACTGCCTGCTCTCCCGACGATTCGCGCATTGGTGAACCGCGCGGATCGCATCCTCGCCCAGAAGGATCCACAGCCGAAACATCCGACGAGGCCCAGTCAGCCCACGATAACCCCAGAGAAGCGGACGTGGAAATGGAAGCAGTTTTGTCTGAAGTTGTTCTCCATTCTGGACCACGTGGCTACGAAGCGCCGCACGGAGGCCCGCATCGGGACCAACGCCTACAAGAACCTGCTCGGGGACGCCAGGAGCCTGGATCAGGAGGCGGCAACATCCTCGCACCGCTCTCGCGACCCACGCCCCTTCTCCCGATTTCTGGAGATCAGCAGCGGGGGGCAGTTCGCGGAAGGCAGGCGGCCAGAACCCGACGGCTCGGGCATCAAGAAGACCGGCCAGCCCCTGTGCACGCGCCCCGAGAAGGTCACGCACCACCGGGGCAAAAAAATGAGCCTGGCGAAGGACCCAACCATATGCAGCTGCGAGTAACGTAGGAGATCGCCTTCTCATCATAGGCAGCGCGCCGCGAGAGGGATGGAACACGGGGCAACGCGGATGGGAACCCCGAAACGTGTGCGGGGTGTGCCGAAGTGGGCTGGGGGACGCATGCGGGCGCTGCCACTGGGGCCTTCGGCGGAGCTCCCTACGGGCCACAAAGCTTGTGAGCGGTGTGTAAAACTAGGCAGAGAAAGCATACGAACCCTGCCGCTGAGGCCTGCAGTGGAGCTCCCTATGGGGCCACGGAACGAACGGGGAGTGTGACGAAATGAGGCGGGGCTGCCATGCGAACCCCGCCGCTGAGGCCTGCAGTGGAGCTCGCTATGGGGCCACGAAGCGTGAGGAGGGTGTGTCAAGATGAGGCGGGGCTGCCATGCGAACCCTGCCACTGGGCCCGTCGGTGGAGTCATCCATGGGGCCACGAAACGTGTGAGGGGTGTGCCGAAAAGGAGGCGGGGCCGCCATGCCAACCCTGCCACTGGGACCTTCGGTGGAGCTCCCCACGGGGCCACGAAACGTGTGAGGGGTGTGCCGAAATGGGTGTGCGGGACGCATGCGGGCACACCCACTGGGACCTTCGGTGGAGTTTCCCATGGGGCCACGAAACGTGTGAGGGGTGTGCCGAAATGGGTGTGCGGGACGCATGCGGGCACACCCACTGGGACCTTCGGCGGAGCTCCCTATGAGGCCACGAAACGCGTAAGGGTGTTGCCGAAATGGGTGTGCGGGACGCATGCGGGCACACCCATTCGGTGGAGCTTCCTATGGGGCCACGAAACGTGTGAGGGGTGTGCCGAAATGGGTGTGCGGGACGCATGCGGGCACACCCACGGGGACCTTCGGCGGGGCTCCCTATGGGGCCACGAAACGTGTGAGAGGTGTGCCGACATGGGTGTGCGGGACGCACGCGGGCACACCACTGGGACCTTCGGTGGAGCTCCCTGTGGGGCCACGAAACGTGTGGGAGGTGTGCCGAAATGGGTGTGCGGGACGCATGCGGGCACACCCACTGGGACCTTGGGCGGACCTCCCTATGGGGCCACGAAACGTGTGAAGGGTGTGCCGAAATGGGTGTGCGGGACGCATGCGGGCACACCCACTGGGACCTTCGGTGGAACTACCTATGGGGCCACGAAACGTATGAGGGGTGTGCCGAAATGGGTGTGCAGGACGCGTGCGGGCACACCCACTCAGACCTTCGGCGGAGCTCCCTATGGGGCCACGAAACGTGTGAGGGGTGTGCCGAAATGGATGTGCGGGACGCATGCGGGCACACCCACTCGGACCTTCGGTGGAGCTCCCTAGGGTGCCACGAAACGTGTGAGGGGTGTGCCGAAATGGGTGTGCAGGACGCATGCGGGCACACCCACTGGGACCTTCGGCGCTCCCTGTGGGGCCACGAAACGATGATGATGGTGGGAGGAGGGAGGAGGGAGGAGGGGGAGGAGGAGGAGGAAGGAGGAGGGAGGGACGCGGGACGCTGTCTCTTCAAAACGAGGACCCAACACCACAGGATGCATTGGAAAATTAATATGACGAAGGACCCAACCATTTGCAGGTGTGAGCACCGCAATCGTGATTCCCTTTTTTCGGTGGTGATCCCCATGAGGCAACAAACCGTGCTAGGGGTGTGCCGAAATGAATGGCGTGGTACGCAACACGAACGAAAACGATTGATCTGAATACGTAGGGAGACTGAGCGCGGGTGAATATGAGCGCGAGTGCGTCTGACTGTGAACGAATCTGCGTGCGAGCGAGTCTACGTGCATGAATGCGAGTATGACAAAGCATGGTGCAATCGTGGATGAATGTCAATAGTTTGAGAATGACTGCCTCTGAGTATTCGCGACGCTGGGCGTGGCCGCCGCAAGGAGCTCCCCCGGGACTCCCCGACGGCATCGCCCGCGCGCCGCGACGCCACCGCGAGGATCGCGCCCGCTTCCTCCCCTTCTTTTATTCCCTCTTTGCCCGCGCACTCAAAAGTCCAAGGCTGCGGGCGCAGCGCAGCGCGGAGTCCCAGCGACGCGCGCAGGTCGCCCCAGAGGGGTCCCAGCAACGCGCGCGGGTCGTCCGCTGCGCGCACCAAAGCTAGCTGGCTGGGTGGGCAGAGCGACGGCGGGCGAGCGAGGCGCGGAACTCCGACGGCCTCCGACGGAGGTGTACTGGGTCGGGGAGACGCATGCGGACTGCGCCACGGGGACCTTCGGCGGAGTTCCCTATGGGGCCACGAAACGCGTGAAGGGTGTGCCGAAATGGGTGTGCGGGACGCATGCGGACACACCCACTGGGACCTTCGGTGGGGCCCCCTATGGGGCCACGAAATATGTGAAGGGTGTGATGAAATGGGCGTGCGGGACGCATGCGGGCACACCCACTGGGACCTTCGGTGGAGCTCCCTATGGGGCAACGAAACGCGTGAGGGGTGTGCCGAAATGGGTGTGCGGGACGCATGCGGGCACACCCACTGGGACCTTCGGTGGAGCTCCCTATGGGGCCACGAAGCGTGCGAGGGTGGTGCCGAAATGGGCATGCGGGACGCATGCGGGCACACCCACTGGGGCCTTCGGTGGAGCTCACTATGGGGCCACGAAACGTGTGAGGGGTGTGCCGAAATGGGTGTGCGGGACGCATGCGGGCACACCCACGGGGAGGGGGGCAGCGGGAAGGTGGGAACGCGGGGCGCTCTCTCTTCAAAACGAGGACCCAACACCACAGGATGGTTGGGAACAAATTAGCCAGACGAAACCCCCATATGCAGGTGTGAGCACCGCAATTGTGATTCCCTTTTTCGGTGGTGATCCCTATGGGGCAACGAACCGCGCTAGTGGCGTGCCGAAATGAATGGCGCGGTGCACGACGCGAACGAAAACGATTGATCTGAGTACGTAGGGAG